TTTGACACGCTTCCCCCTTCCGGCCAGTTCCTACTGTGGATCTCAGCAGAGATCGCACCCTCTCCGGGAGGCCCACCGTGGGACTTGATGGTCCTGCTTTCCCTAAAATAGCACTTGTCACACTGGAATCCTCGGATTCCCACCCCCCCCCCACCCCCACACACACCCTTACCCCCACGCCCACCCCTAGCTGGGTCAGAAAGGGACATCGTCTTTACTGCAATCGCAGCACTCAGCCCAGCACCTGGCCCATATGTTTACTGAATGAGTGAATGAACTTCCTCTTTATGGGGTCAGAGGTTAGCAGAGTGCCGAGGCATCTGATACAGGTTTCCACTTCCATGAAATCTCTCCTTAGTTTTACTTCTTCAGACTTTGGAGGGCAACACATGGGTTGTTTGGTTTGTTCCTTGACTTCTGGAGTCCATGAGGGGTCATGGGGACCCAGCTGCAGAGAAAGGGGTGACGGTGATGGTGGGGAGTGACCCTGGCTAATGTTCTCTCTGCTTGCTCCTCCTCCTGCCCCCCCAGCGGCCGGACTCTATTACCTAGCGGAACTGATAGAAGAGTACACAGTGGCCACCAGCAGGATCATCAAATACATGATCTGGGTAAGTGGCCTCTTCCCCCGGGTCCACCCTCACCTACTGCCCTGCCTCCAGAAGAAGTGGGGCAAGTGTGGCATGGGTGCTGAGACCTTGATCCCTGCTGTTTCCTGCGGGGCCACCCCCGTGCCTTGCCCTCTTCTTTGTTCTCCGGGTCTGCTCTCCTGGGCCCAGGTCTTTGCCTCCTTCCCCAAGTCACGTTGCTTCACTGCAGACCCCTTTCTCTGTGCCTTAAGGTGACAGCTGAGTGCTCATTCTCCGTTGACAGGACCGTGGCTTTGCCTTTGCTTGGCTGTCTTCCACTGTCCTAGCCCCTCGCTCTGCTCACAGCACTTAGAACGGAGAGGAACCTGAAGGACAGTTTTGAGTGCTTGCTCATCGCCCTCTTTCTTGTCGGATCAAGGGATTAGCGCTAAGAGGGAGATACCTTCCCTGGCCGAGGCCCTGCCCTCCCCAGGTCTCGCGGAAAGTTTCTCTTTCTGAAGACACAAAGCCTTTATATCACAGCCACAAGGGTGACTGCTGGTGGATAGAATCCTGCCAACGGCAGGAAATCTGGGGACGGGTGGGAGCACCTGTGGACAGGAGCCCAGTGCCTGTCAGGTCACCAGGTGTCAGCAGCCACTTCCACTCTGGGCTTGGCCTGAGGTAGGGAGTTAGTGGTGGAGACAAGTGGTGGCTCTCAGCTCTGGGTTCAGAGGTCCCGGACGCTCATGGGTGTTGGTACAGGAATTTGACTTTCATTTAACCAACTGTCCTTTGTTAAGCGCTGACAACTAAGTCCTTCAGAACAGCGTTTTCATACTGCAGGTATGATTCATTACTGGGTTGTGTTACCAGTTCATTTGGCCATGATTAGCATAAAAGGTGGACTAGAAAAGACTAGAATTGAAATTTGAACTTTGATCATATATGTGTTATGTGTGTTTTGGGGTCAGTGTAAACATTTTCTTACTGTGGGTTGCCGTCCAACATTTTGAGAATGGCATTGAGAGATGCTACCCTTCAAAGATGCCACCCTTCAAAGATGCCACCTGAGAGGCTAGGTGGGGAGATCAGACCTGTGACTGAAATGAGGTGAGATTGAAGCATGAACCTAGTGTTGCCCCAAGTGGGCTGGGGGCTAATGAGTCCAGGAAGACTTCCTGGAAGAGGCTCCCTGCACTGTGTGCCTCTGGTCGTTTCAGTTCTCCACAGCTGTGCTGATTGGCCTCTACGTTTTTGAGCGCTTCCCCACCTGCATGATTGGCGTGGGCCTCTTCACCAACCTCGTCTACTTTGGCCTCCTGCAGACCTTCCCCTTCATCATGCTGACCTCGCCTAACTTCATCCTGTCGTGCGGTGAGAGGGGGCAGAGTTGAGGAGGCAACTGAGGTAGTTGGATGTGCCCAGCCCAGCTCGTGGCACTGAAGGGGTTCTAGGGAAAGGAGGCGAAGCGCCGAGGGCCTCCGCACATGGGAGAAGCCTAGAGCCCACCTTGACTCAGGGACTAGAATTTGGTGGGAGTGGAGGGGGGTGGGATACTCAGACAGGAGGGCTTTCTCGGGGAGGTAAGTATGAAGAAGGTTTGGGAAGAGAGAAAGGTGGGCTTGCTGAGTACTTAGAGCCCCTAAGAAACTACTTGTTCAGGAAAAGCTCAAAGCCCTTCTCTGGCAGGTGGCAGCTCCCCATCCAGTCCTCTGGCCCAGCATTAGGACTGTAGTTTCATGGGGCTGGGGGCCCCCTGCGGACAGCTGCCTGGGGGCTGACGCATGTGTTGGGAGGACCCCGGCCTTCCTGCCTTTGCCCTGCCCCCACTCCCTGGCCCTCGGGAGTCATGTCCCCTCTCTGGGCCTTAGCCTCTCCATTTGTTCCAAGCTGATGTGTAGGAGACTCAGTTGGCACAAGCAGAGACTTAGAGATATTTATAGGTATTCACAGAAAACCTCTGGAAAGCCGTTGGTTACCAGCATTGCCCTTTCTCCCAGTAATCATTACTGGTCATCCTAGCCTTCGGTCAGGACATCAGATGGAACTGGGGATTTTATAGAACGACTTTTCTATTTCTGTGGGAGAACCTGGGAAGAATATTATCCACAAGGAGGGCACACTGTGAAAGCCAGACCTGGTCTCTTCTCTGCATGCCTCGGTAGGATTTTGCCAAAGGGTTTGTTCACCAGGGTTTGGTTGGGGAGCCCTTCCCTGGAGACCAGGCCCTTTTGCGTCTTTTTAGGGAGGAGGGTCCTCCACCCCAATCCCTGACTCCTGCCCCCAGCGGCAGGCTGCCCTTCAGGTGCCTTAGTTTTTCTAAAGATTTTGTGGGCATCAGGCACCGTCCTGCCTTCCAGCATCTAGTGCTCGAGTGCTTAGGCACGTAGAGCCGCGGTCTCTGCCTTGGAAGGGAGAGGCAAGGGAGGAGATGAGACGTGCCAGTGGCTGAGGTGTATGTGATGGGTGCTCATGGGGATGCTTTGTTCTGGTGCCTGCCCTTGCCCACACATGGGATCAGGCCGGGGTGCCTGTCTCTGAGCAGCCTGTCCCCAGGATCTGCTCGCTCTCTCTCCCCCATAAATTCGGCTGCACACTAAGGTGTGTGGGGTCCAGAACATACAAGTTCAGACCAGGGGGCCTTACCCTGGGGCAGGTTAAGGAAAGACCCTCTCCCCCAGAATGTTGAGGAACCCTCAGGCTGCACCCCCAAAGTGTCTAGAAAACTGTGCCCTTTTATTTTTGAGGAGTGCTCTTTATTTGAGGCGTCCTTCTCCCTGCTGCCGAGTTTGGAGTGGAATCTCATGGGAGGATGTGACCTCACACCCATGACTTCCTCCACCCACTGCCCCCGGAGAGCTCTCTGGGACTCGCTGAAAACCAGCTTAATTGTCACGGTGCTTGGGAGGACGTGACACTGAGTCTCTTTTTTATAACATCCCAAGGGCTTTCCCTGCCCCCTAACTTTACTCATAAATGCCCTCTGCAGTGGCGGGTGGGGGCTTACTCACCCATTTTAACATGGAAAACTGAGCCTTTGAGTCGGGTGTAAAGTTAGGACTAAAACTCGGGGCTCCCAACTCCCTGGAGCCTTTTGAAGGTTAAAAGTCCGGCTTTTATGTTATTCCCCCCAGACTGACTGCCTCTCCATTCCCTCAACAGGACTAGTGGTGGTGAATCACTACCTAGCATTTCAGTTTTTTGCGGAGGAATATTATCCTTTCTCAGAGGTAAGGAGCGTTTCGTACATCAAACTATTAACAGGGACAGAAGGATAAAGGGGACTTGCAAGATTTGCTTTGTGAACCTAGCTGTGATTTGAAACTGCGCCCATTGAGGGATAACGCGTTGTTTAAAACTTAGTAGAGATGATCTCAGGAAGCAGCGTGGGAGAGGAGCAGGGATCCCTTTGGCGATGGGGAGACAGCGCTCTCCCCCAGTGAGTCCTTTGGGTCTCCCAGGATCCCAGCCTAACACCCGGAGGTCAGGAAGGGTCGGTGGAGCGGCCTTGTGTGATGGGTTGGGTGTGCTGCAGGCCGAACCCTGGTTCCCCCCAGCGCCCTGCCACTGCAGTCTGGACCCCTGGGAAGAACAAGACCGCTTCTTTGGGGACTGTGGGTCAGAGAAGTCCCTTGTCCTAGCGACCAGTAACTGGGGATTGTGGCTCATGAGTCATCTTCAGCCTGCACCGTCCCCACTGTCCTGTCTCCATGTCTGAGGATGTCCTGTCTCTGCTTCCCAGGCCCTGGCCCCCTTCAGAGACCAGGTGTGGGGGCTTCTGTGCCGGCTTGACCACCTCTCAGATACAGCGTGGCCAGGCCCCGCCCACCCTTGGCGCCTCCGGGGGCACCCTCTTCTCAGTGTCTCTCGTTGCTAGGTCCTGGCCTATTTCACTTTCTGTCTGTGGATAATCCCGTTCGCGTTCTTCGTGTCACTGTCGGCTGGAGAGAACGTCCTGCCCTCCACCGTGCAGCCAGGAGGTGAGAGGGCTTTGTGCGGGGTCTCGGCGGGAGGACGCCAGCAAGGCCTGAGCTGGCGGGGGGAGCCGGAGCCCAGCCCTGTGACCGAGACACTTGGGTTTCAGGTGGAGAGAGCTGTGCTCACTTTCAGACTCACACACACACACACACACACTCATCTCCCTGCCTGTGTCTCCACAGATGACGTGGTCTCCAATTACTTCACCAAAGGCAAGCGGGGCAAACGCTTAGGGATCCTGGTTGTCTTCTCCTTCATCAAAGAGGCCATTCTACCCAGTCGTCAGAAGATGTACTGACGCCCCTGGGGAGGGGATGTTGGGGCGAGATCAGGAGAGTCAGGCCCCTGGGCCTCTCTGTGAGCCTGGAAGGTTCCTTCCCCCAGCCCTGGCCTGACTTCCTTCAAGTCTCCCTGGAGCCTCCATCCCCACCTTCCTCGGGATGCGCAGCTGGGCTCAGATCTGCTGCTGCTAGAGGCCGTGACCTCAGAGGCACCAGGGAGGGTGGCGGAGCCTGCTTGGCTGGAGGCCGTGGCCCACCTGGCTCTGTGGAAGCTGAGCTCCCCGTGGCCCTGCCTGCCCCTTCCATGCTGGGTCAGGAGGCTCTGGCTCAGTCGAGGCGGGCAGGGCAGGGGCCTTGAAGCTGGAGAGCAGACAGGGATAGGGTCTTCGGGCAGATGGCCATGGGGCAGGGCCATGGCTTGGCAATTCCCAGGAAATAGTTTTTGCTGTTGAACTGTGATTTCTGTCCAAGTCTGATTCCTGTTTGAATAAAGATTCTAGGTGGCACTTGTTGCCTTAATACCCTGAAAGTTCATCTTCCTTTCTTCCTGCTGACCTTCTGCCCTGGCCTGGATGGGCTTTTCGGCTGCAGGGGTTCCTTTTCTGGGATTGGGCCTTGCCTTTCTGAAGGGACTGTTCTTATGTCCCTTAGTGGGAAGGGGGCAGGATGAAGAGCTGAGCCTGGTTAGGGGGTGGGGAGTGGCAGGTGGATGCAGCCTTTCTTATGCCCTCCCACCCACACCCCCCGTCTTTTCTTCAATCTCTTCTTTCCCCAAGGCTCCATGACTGTCAGGCGGGGGGCAGAGAGAGAGCAGTTTGGGACTGGGTTAGATTTTCAGAGCAACTTCTACAATACCCTATTTATAAGTCTTCCCCTGGAGAAAAGGAGTGGTTTCTGGCAGAATTCTATGTCAGGCTCAAGGAGAAACCTAACTTGACTGCCAGCAGTCTGGGCTATGGCCTGTTTTGTAAGAAATAGGCCTGGTGGAGGAAGCTGTGTGTCCATGAGCACACGGGCTGGCCCCCTTTCCTGTGTGCTCGGCTCCTGAGGAGATGACCTCAGGCCTCGAAGCAGGCAGGCGAGGTCCCGGGCACAGACCAGCATTTGTTAACCTTGCACTCCAACTACAGTGCCTTGCAGATACTCAGCACTACATAGCGGAATGAAGTCCCCGTGAAGGCCGTTACTGGCCATGTCGTATACCTCACAGCGAGGGTAGCAGGTGCAGCGATGGGCTGCACACATGTAGTATCTTTAAGTCCCTGTGCTGAACATCTTTCCTCCACATCCTGCAAGTCCCACAGTAGCCCTTCCCTTCCTTGACTCTAGCATTTCCTGTTCTCTTAACAATACCAGCCTTCCCCTTTCCCTGGGAGGAGCAGCACACGTGGGTCTTCTCTCAACGGGGGCCAACATCACCCTCACTGCTGGGCCAGTGCTCTCCCTCCCTGTCCTCCTCTTTGTTCCTCACCCCGAGGACGCGGCTTCACCTCCTCCATGCGCTCCACTGTCAGTGCTCTTGTGGGGTTGCCAGTGGTCTTTTTGTGCAAATCCAGTGAACCCTTTCCACCCCTTACTGGGTCTCTGCAGCATCTGACAGGGCTGACCACCCCAGCTCCTTGAATCGCACTTGTATGGCCATTTCTCCTCCTACCTCTGTGGCTTCTTCCGGTGCCCTATGCAGGCTTCTCCACGCGCCCTACAGTGGGGTTTCTCAGGGTCCTGTCCTGGGCTCCCTGGAGGAGCCCATCCATGCTCATGGCTTTGACTCTGCCAACGAAGTGAGAGTTGACTTCCAGCCCCAACACCCCTCCTGGGCTTCTGAACCGGTTCTGCTGCCTTTGGGCGCACAAGCTCCTCTCACAGCCCAGCTGCACTTGCTGCCCTCTGCAAACCTGCCTCTTTTGGGCACCTGCTGTGGCCCCGAGAGCACTCAGGAGCCAAACCAGAAACCTGCTTTCTATCCCTGCTTTCTCCTTTTGCCCCCCACATCCAGTCTCTCAAAACTGTCAAGTTTGCCTCCTTAACATCTCTTGATGAGAGTAGAGCCACTCCCACCGTCATCAACTTTCACCTGGGTTATTGTGACAGCCGCCTCCGGCTTCTAGGTCCCACAGCTAGAGTTGTCTTTCTAAAATGCACAGTTGATCACGTCACTTCCTGGCCTGCACCCTCCCATGGCTCCCCTCTGCCTTCAGGACAAAATCCAGACCCTTAGCACGGCTTTGAGACACGTATCCTCTTCCTGCTCGCCTCTCTGGCCTCATCACGTGCAACCTCGCACTCTGGGTCCTGGCCTCCTGTATCCAGAGATGCCACTTTTCTTCCCCTTCTATTCACCAGGGCATCTCTGTTAGTTCTCCACTTAAGATTTTACTTCGTCCAAGGAGCTTTTAACGTCCCCTCCCCCTGCCCACTCCAGCACACCACACACATCACGGTGGGCTCACTTGCCTGTGTACTGGTCCATCTCCTCACTAGACTGTAAGCTCCTTGAGGGCAGGGACTGTCCTTCAATTTTTGTATCAACAGCGCCTAGCTTGGTGCCTGGCACATGGGAAGCACTCAATAAACGTTTGTTTAATGAATGATTTGTAGTGATGTGTACAGCGGACAGCAGGGGATGCAGGCTAGCTTCCTGGAGGAAATACAAGTGCTTTCATAGTCTCACAATAAAGCCATGGGTCCTTCCTTCCTCCCCCACACATGCCCCTGTGCCTCCCTTCCCTGCAGAAACCACAGTGGCAGGGAAGCCATGGCAGAGTGACACGTTAGCTGTCTTCCACCCCATTCTGGCTCTGGAGGTGAAGCATGAGGCCCGGAGTCTGTAGTAGAAGGACTTAGTCTGAACAAGAGGCAGACTTCCCAGTGGTTCCTCAGCCTGTCCCTGCTGGGCTGTTTGGAGGGAGGTGGGAGCAAAGGGGACACCAAAATGTGACTTTTACAAAGCCAGAGCCTAGGATACAGACTGACCCCACTCTGAGCTCTGGGCTGCTGCCCTAATTTGAATCTCTCAGGGGGTCTCCAAGGATCCGGGCTTTTGCTGGGGGGCAGGGGCTCTGACCCTTCATCTTGGGAATGGGAAGCCTGTGGGCACTCCTTCCCTTGTTCCCTGTCCGCAACATAAATGACCACACCTCAGCCTTCACTAGCCTGCCGCAGCTCCAGAGGCTACCGAAATAGGTTTATGGGGGGGCAGGGGGTTAGGGGCAGGGCAGAATGGGGAGCCCCTGATGGGCTTGCACTGTTGCCAGGAAGGCTTCGTCAAATGTTTCACGTAAGTTCATGGCCAGAGTGTCGGTACAGAAGGTGTTGTCGCCCAAGTACCGCTTCCGGTCCACGTCCTTTATGCTGACAGAGTGGAAGCCCTGGGGCACCTTCATCCTGCACGGCCGCATATGAGGGTACAGCTCACGGACTATCACCTCCAAAGGCAGCCGAGGCACAGAGGTCACCTGCTTGCCAGTCACCGTGCGCAAGTGCGCACCACCTTGCCCATCAGGCCTGATCTTGAGGAATCCTCGGAAGTCGTGCTCCAGGCTGGGTTCTGGATGCACACCCAGGCGGATGCCCTGTGGGGAGCCGATCTGGGCGGTGGGGGATCTGGCAGGGTTGTTGCTAATATTCCACGGCTTGGGCTGCCTAACTGTGGGATGCATGTAGTGGGGTGTGGATGTCAACGAGGGCTGCAGCTTGGGCTGTGGTGTCTGTCGCAGGTGCTCCTCTGGGGAGGGGTGGAAGTGCTTGGACAGCGTGGGGGTCTTGGAGACGGGGATGGCCCAGGGAGGGGCTTGCGGCTCTTGCTCAGTGCTGTGGATCAGAGACCGGCCTCGAGGCAGTGGCTTGTGATGGAGCCACTTCTTGAAAGCAGCTTGTCTCAGAAGTTGTTGTTCTTCCTGCAATGTCAGAGGGCACAAGATAGTGGAGGAGGGCTGCTCCCTCTGTGCTTCTGTGGAAGGAGACCCTGTGGCTATAGACCTTGGAAACCTCAGGTGTGATTGGTCAGACAACATCCTAACCTCGGGAGCCCTGAGTCTGATGGGAGAATCTCCTGCCTTACCGGAGCCCTTGATCTGATGGGGAGACAAGTATTGCCCGAAGGGAGCCCCTGGGCTGAGGGGCTCCAATCTGAGGAGACCCATCCTCCACCCTAGGTGAGGTCTTCAGCTGGAGGGGGAAGCTGTGGTCTCTGCCCGACAGAAAACCTTGAGTCTTGAGGGAGGATCCCATATTGGTAGTGAAGACATATCCTGCCCTAAGAGTCTCTGCTTTGATGGGAGGGAAAGGCCTATGAGAAGTGCAGGCTGCATCCTTGGCCCTGGATGGAGAAAGCAGAAAGGTTTGGGAGGCCTGGAGCTGGTGGCGCGAGTCTGGGCAGGCTCCTGGGAGGGGGTTAGCTGGCCTGGAGCAGTCATGTAGGGGGCACAGTTAGCTGGCTCTCCAGGCTGGGTGGGAGTCACTTGGTCTAGCTGTCTGTTCTTGCTTCCACTACAATTGAACCTTCGGCTCATCACAGATCTGTCCCCTCATGGCTCACTTCCCAGGCTGTTGCTGTCGGGCGGTTTGGAGATTGACCCAGCTCTGGAGGTAGGCTCTGATTAGGCTAAGCCTCTCAGAATAATTCCATCAGCCTTGCCCCAGACCTAGGTCAGTCAGCACATGGCTTTCCTTTAGCTTGAGGGATTGGAACAAGAGTGGACATGTGATCCCGCTGAGGCCAGTAAGACATGAGGGGAGATCTGCAAGGGCCTTATGGGAAAGTTTAGAGCCACAGGAACCGATGGGCTTTGCCTATTCTGGACACAGGTGACTGTGAGGACTGAGAGCAGTTAGGGCTGAGAAAACGAGAGAAGTGCGGCCGGAGCAGAGCTGGAGCCCTCCATTTGCCAGCTCCCAAGCCCTCCCCGCTTCTGGATCCACTTAGGATTCCCAGCATCTTTTCTAGGTTTTCTGGCTCTTGCATCCTACGTAATTAACCTGCTTAAAATCCTTTAGTGACTCTGCTTCCCCAGCCAAGGCCTGTCATTGACCTGGGCCCCTGCCAAATCTCTAGCTTGTCACATTGGAACCCCTGACTGTACTGAATTTGCACTTGTTGGCATACACACTTCTATGTGCCTCTGTGCCGCCACCCCCCCCCCACCCCCCCAACACAGGGCTGTCTGTTCCTTCAGCCTGGTCAGCCCTTCCCTACTTCCTCATATGGCCAACTGCTACCCATCGTTAAAGACTCCTCTTAAGTATTATCCTCTGGCACCTCCTGAGCCCCCTTTTCCTCTGTGGGAATATAACCCACCTCTTCTACTAAGCTCTAAGCTCCTTGAGTGAGAGGACCACCTTTCATTGGTCTTTGGAACCTCAGGGTCTAACAGGTGCCTAGCAGAGAGTATGTTGGAAGATTTTTTTTAAATTAATCTTCACCCCAGGATATTTTTTCCATTGATTTTTAGAGAGAGTAGAAGTTTGTGTGTGTGGGGGGGGTGGGGGGGTGGGGGGGTGGGGGGGGGAGAGAAACATCAGTGCAAGAGAGAGACATCTATTGATTGCCTCCCACATGGGCCCCTACTGGGTCTGGGGAACCTGCAACCGAGGTACACGCCCTTGACCGGGAAGCGAACCAAGACCCTGGGTCTGCAGGCCAATGCTCTAACCACCGAGGAACCAGTCAGGGCAAGATGGGTCTTTTAACCAGTGTACTTCCCAGTAAGGTAGGACCTGGGTCTCATTAGAGATTCTCCTCCTCCCCAGAGGGAGGCACTGGGCTAGGGGGGAGGGGGTTTCATAAATACTTGCTAATTTAAGCTGCTTTAGTTTTCTACACAAGACAGGCTTTTGACCTAAAGAAGTGGCTTCTCAGGGTAGAATTTTAGTCAGAGGAGGGGGAGAAGGAGGCTCTCTGGATGGGACGGCTTCTCGTCACTAAAGGCACATGCGATTCATGCCTCTGCTCACATACCTCGGTAGCAGCTGATGCCCGGTGCCTTACCTGGCACTCAGTCTGGTAGTACCGCTCCATGAGGGCCAGCTGGCCTTTGAGCCCCTTCAGCTTCCCCATCTCACAGGCAAAGTCCTTCTTGTCCCGTTTCCACATGGCATCCTTCAAGAACCTGGCGCCCAGGTGAGGATGTGTCATCCTCAGTGACTGGGCTTCAACCTGGAAGACTGGCTGCTGCTGAGGGCCGGGGTGGGCATGGGAGGGGCTGCCAGAGTCGAGACCAGCAACATGATGCACCCCCACTGTCCAAGGCCCCTCTGGCTAACTACTTCCTGTGAGGTGAGGGGCAAGTGTCTGAGGGACTGATCACTGTCCTCCTGATGAGAAGCCGCGGGCAGGAAGGCAGTGCTAAACCACAGGGGTGAGGCCTGTGGAAAGCCCCTGGGAATAATATCCTGGGAAGACTTATCCCCCAGCCACTGGCTTCCCAGACCCCCTCCTAAAGGCTCTGCCGTGGGGGAGGGCCCAGGGGCAGGGCTGGAGGTGGTTCTCACACACTCACCGAGCACAGACGCGGTGGTTCCATATTTTGCAATAGTCGATGGGCTTGCAGCCTATGGCATCTCGGGCATGGACATTGGCGCCATTCTTCACCAGGAGCTTGACACAGCTCAGCAGGCCCTCCCGGGCTGCCAGGTGCAGCGGTGTGGAGCCATTGCGTGTCTGACTGTGGAGGCCCGCCAAGGGGAAGAGGGCAGTAAGAAAGGACAAAGGGCATCTATCCATCAGGTTGGCGGGCAAACCGGCTCCCAGGCCTGCTCCGCCACCAGCCCATTGGGTGACCCTGGCATGTCCCGTCTCTGTCCCTCAGTGTCCTCAGCTGTAGGAGGAGGATTTGGACTGAGCGGTCAAAGTTTAGTTATGGGGGTGTGGACCGTGCAGAACTGCTGGAAGGAGAGCTGGGTCTGCTGGACCTCAGAGACCCCTAACCTCATCCTTGGAAAGCAACCAGCCCTCCTGCCTCTTCCCCATGCCCAGCCGTGGCCCACAAGCCTGTGCGCCCTGGGCCCTGCCTCATCCTCCACCTCATCCCTGACCTTGCCGCACTCTTTCCTAACACATGGCCTTTGCACATGATGTTCACTCTGCCTGGGACACTTTCCTCTGGCTCTTGGCATGGCTGGCTCACCATCCTCAGGGGGGACTTTCCAAGTCACCACCTTAGAGGTGACTGCCCCTTCCAAAGAGCCTCTCCCTGCCCCTTCCCTTCCCACCCCCGCCCCCATTTGTCTCTTCATACCCTCTGTCATCTCCTCATTCGTCATTGTGCTCATTTACTATCTGCTCCTGCACTCAGAGGATATCAGCTTCATGAGGGCAGGGGATCTTTCTTTCTTTTTTTTTTTTTAAATATATTGTATTGATTTTTTACCGAGAGGAAGGGAGAGGGATAGAGAGTTAGAAACATCGATGAGAGAGAAACATTGATCAGCTGCCTCCTGCATACACACCCCCCTCCCCCACTGGGGATGTGCCCACAACCAAGGTACATGCCCTTGACTGGAATCGAACCTGGGCCCCTTGAGTCCGCAGGCCGACTCTCTATCCACTGAGCCAAACCGGCTAGGGCCAGAGAACATTTCTGTGTGCTCCCTGCTGGATCCCTCCCCTCTGGCACGGTACTGAGCACAGAGTCCGTGCTGTGAGTGAACGCAGTCTCCTGTGTGCCGCCCATGCACTTCCCATGCATTTTCTCAATGATCACAATAGCGACAGGCACTGCCATCCTCCCAGATCAGTTGAAGACACAGAGGCAGTAAGTAGCTCCCAATCGTTGCCGCAAACACATGTAGATCTTTTAAAGCTTCCAAAGCCCTGACCACGCCCCAAGCTAATTAAGTGACAACCTCTAGATCGGCACACGGGCGCTGGGCTTTTGGAAGCTCCCCACGTGATTCCAATGTACCGAAGAGCACTGAGGGCGGAGCGACTGGCTTGGGGTCTTGATGGCAAAGCCCGGACGTGAACTAGGTCTGACCTCTCCCAGAGCCCAGTTTCTTAACTGGAACACCCTGTGGGCTTTATGTGGGACCCAGTTCTTGTTCCTCCACAGCCCCTCTGCCTGTCCTGCAGGGATCTGCCTGCCTGGAAGCGGGTTCCCCTCTGCCCAGCCTCCACGCTGACGCAGCTGCACTCACGTGTTGAGGGCTGCCCCGTGCTGGAGCAGATAGTGAACGCAGGGGAGGACCGTGTTCTTGTTCTCCTTGTGGATGACGAGGTGCAGGGGCGTCTGGCCATTTTTGGTGGGCAGGTCCACGGGAAACTGGTACTCCTCCACCAAGACCTGCAGGCATTCGAGCTTGCCTTTTTGGGCTGCAAAGTGGATGGCAGTGAAACCCTGTGGCGGCCAAAGGAGGGCAGGAGGGGGCTGAGCAGGATGGGGGCCCCAAGGTCCAAAACCGAACCTAGGTAGCAGTTCCTTGGGCTTCCCCTTCCCCTCTTCCCTCTGACCCCCCTTCCCCCCAGGAGTCACTCACACCCCTTTTCTCACGCTGGTATGTGCTCACTCTTCCTTGATGCCCCCAAATGACCCCCGCCCCCACCACACACACAGTGGGAGGTGAATTAGGACGACCTGCTCAGAAAAGGACACCTCTGGGTGCTCTTTGCCAGGTGAGCACTGGGTGAGGAGCTCCTGGCGGGAGGGGAGGATCCTTGCTCCTGCACATCAAAGCCTTACCTTGTTATCGGTGAGGATTCCCTCAAGGTCCGGATTCAGACTGAACCGCAACCATTCCAGGTGGCCCAAGGCGGCTGCGAACCACTCGCAATTGTTGCACTCCAACCTCTCCTGGACCGGACTGGATCAGCGCGGGGGTGGAGGTGGGGGTGGGAGGGGTGGAGGGGAGGCAGGAGGGCGTGATCGGGAATCCAATTAGGCCAGCACTAGCGCAGGAGGCGTTTACGGAGGCGGGGCCCGAGCTGGCTGGCCGGCCGGCAGGGCGAGGAGGTCGCTACAGCGCTCCTGAACCCGCCTCGAGAGGCCAGCCCGGACCCCAGCCCAGCTTTCCGGGCCTCTCAGCAGCCCTCTCCCATCCGCTCCGCTCCAGGCCCTGCCCCTCCTGGGAGGCGCGGGGCGGGTTCCCACGCCGCAGCCCGGCCACCTATTCCCCTGCTCACCTAGGCTTTCTGAAGATAGAGCTACTCCTGGGGACCCAGGAGTCCTTCTTCACCTGGTCTATGGAGGCACGTGGTGTGGGCGGGGGCTGTGAGCTCCTCCTCGCCCAGCCCCCGCCCACTGAGCTGCACCGCGGCGTCTCCAGGGTCCCGCGGGCCGGCGGAGACTCGAACTCGTGCTGCGGGCGGGGCCGAGCCGACGCGGTGTGAGGGCCCTGGCCTCGGCCGCCCCTGCCGCCCCTGCCGCCCCGGCCGCCCGCGCTCACTCCTGGAAACTCAGCATCAAACGCACACACCGCAGACTGAAAGGCCATAGCCTTTGTTTCTGATTGTAAAATTAATGAGCGCGGATTGTTCAAAACAAAACAAAACAGAAAAAGACAATGAAGAAAGCAAAACCGCAACCCCACCACTCGCAGAAATCACGTCTATTACGATCCGCTATATCACTTAGGGTTCTATTGTGAGCTAACTTCGGTCGACATTCCCCTTGACAAACGCACATTGTGACGCAACCCTGGCCCAACACCCGAATGGATGCGCTGTCCTTTCCCACGCGCTGCAGGGAGCAAAATGGCTCCTCTGGTTGGTTCCTTCGCATGGATTCCTGGAAGTCCAATTACTGGGTGACAGGAATGAACATTTTATTAGCTATTGACATGTTTCCAAACTGCCCTCCAGCAAGGTTTACACAGCAGCGGCGGGACAAGTTACTTTGGGCGAGTTACCTTCTGTATCTCAGTTTCTGCATCAGCAAAAGGGGACACTTGAACCCAATTCACAAGGGGGAAGGGATGCAAATGAGAGGAGGCTGGCTGAGTGATTTGCTATTATTAAAAGGAACTCTTCCAACCAGCACTGGATTCTAGGGTTTTAAATAAATGTTCGCTAATTTGTTAGTGGCAACAGTGTTCTGATTTGACTCTTTGATTGCCAACAAGGGTTAAACAATTGATTATCAGTGTTTTTCTCTTCTGGGACTTAATGTATCTCTTTTATTTCTTCGAGGGACTTAATGTATCTCTTATTGACTTATCAAACTTATTAACATAGTAACCCTTTATATATTTTTGTTGTTGTCAGTATTTTCCTCAGTTTGCCTTTTAACTTTTTACAATATAGTCAATCAGTGTTGTTTGAGTCAGTGTTGTTACTGAACAATCTATATTCTCACCCCTTCTCAATTAAAAATGGGCAAAGGGCCTGAATAGACATTTATCGAAAGAAGATATATAAGTGGCCAATAAGCACATGAAAAGAAGCTCAACATTGATCATAAGGAAAATAAATAAAAATCACAGTGAGCTATGTCACACCCACCAGGATGGCTATAATACAAACCACAGATAATAAGTGTTGTCCAGGGTGTGGAGAAATTGCAACCCTTGTGCACTACTGGTGGGAATGTAAAATGGGGTAGCTACTTCGGAAGTGGATTTGCAATCTGGCAGCCCCTCAGAACATTACACATAAAGTCACCATCTGACACCCAGTCATTTCACTCTCCCTTGATGCCTCCAAATGGGGCATCAAGAGAAATGAAGACCTATGTCCACACACAGACTTGTCCATGAGTGTTCATAGCAGCATTATTTATAGTAGCCAAAAGTGGAAACAATCACATGTCCATAAACTGATATATGGATAAACAAAATGTGGTATATCCATGCTGTGGAATATTATTTGGCAATAAAAAGAAATGAAGTACTGATACATGCTACAACGTGGATGAACCTTGAAAATATTATGCTAAGTGAAAGAATCCAGTCACAAAAGACCACATATTGTCTGATCCAATTTAAATATATTTGTATTGATTTCAGAGAGAAAGAGAGGAGAGAGAGAAGCATCAATGATGAGAGAGAATCATTGTTCTGCTGCCTCCTGCATGCCCCACACTGGGGATCAAGCCCACAACCTGGGCATGGGCCCTGACTAGAAATCGTACCGTGACCTCCTGGATCATAGGTTGACACTCAACCACTGAGCAACACTGGCCGAAATGTTCAGAATAGGCAAAGCCTAGGGCTTGGGAAGGGGCCGACGGGTTGAGGGGTTGGTTAGCAGGACAGGGTTTCTTTCTGAAGCAATGGAAATGTTCTAAAATTGATGGTGGTGATGGTTGCACAACTCTGTGAATATACTAGAAGTTGTTGAGTTATACAGTAACAAATCGGTAAATTGTAGAGTATGTAAATTAAGTCTCAATAACACTGTTATTAAATGAAAACAACCCTATGCCCTGTGGATACCCAAAAGCTTTCCCTAAACGGCTGTGAGTTGTCATGGGAACGGGACTTTTATCCCCAGGGTCTCCTTTGATGTCAGTTCCTGATCCAAGAATTCTGGCTGGTCCCACAACACAATGACCCAGAAATGGAACTCAGCCCTTTTCCGGAAGTTCCATTCCTCCAGTCCTCCTCGCCTCTGAGCAAGTGTTCATGACTTCATTGTAGATGGGGCCGAGGAGACAGGAGGGATGGCGTTACAGAAGGGCAGCAGCTTTCAAAGCAACATCCAGCATCCTGGATGCTCTTCACCCATTTTTAATTGGGGGCTTCTCAGCCTTTCGCCCCCATCCCCAGGTCACGCAGGCTCTCTCTCCAGCAACCCCCCCTCCCTTCCTGTCTGGGGAGCACACCGAGCTCTTCCCTAGCCTCTCTCAGGCAGAGCTGGTGAGCGTCAGACAAATCTTTCGTGGCCTGGAGCCCATCCTCCACCCAAGAAATGTATCAGGATATTTCCTATCAAAGATAAATATCTTCCAAAGAGAAATTCTGCTGTCAGCTGTTAAAAGACACTGATGTGGCTAGGCTTTCTTGTTTGTTTAAAGTGGAGAGAATAATTTAACGAACCTCCTGTACCCATCACCCGCAGCTTGAACCATAGCAGTGCTTTGCCAATCTTGTTTGCACATAAGATAAACTCTTCACCTCAATTGCTTTTCATTTGGGGGCTTTTAAAATACAAATACAAGTGCTCCTGTCAGAACCAGACTTAGAACACAGGCTTGACAATCTGTTCTCTCCCAGCGCTAGGAAGCCGGGGACAGGGATGGGGCGTAGGCGGGGCTGAGGGTGGCGCGGTTGGCTCAGGTGTATGGAACCTTCAGGATGGGGGGCGGTGGGGGGAAGAGGGGTGCATGGGCGTGATGCGGAGGGCAGGGGTCCCAGGACGGTGCTGAGGGCGGGGCTAGAATGCAGTGTCGGACGTGGTGTCCTGCGGCGCCCCCTCGCGGGAGTAGAACTCATCGACCACGCTCTGCGGAATGCGCTTCAGCATCTCCTTGGGGAAGATGCGCAACAGCTTCCAGCCCAGGTCCAGCGACTCGAACACCGAGCGGTTCTCATAGGGGCCTAGGGACAGAGCACGAGCGTCAGTGTGTGTGTGTGTGGTGTGTGTGTGTGATGTGTGTGTGGTGTGTGTGTGTGTGTGATGTATGTGTGGCTGTGTGTGTGTGATATGTGGTGTGTGTGTGTTTGGCGTGTGTGTATCATGTGTGTGTATCTGACGTGTGTTTGGTAATAGTGCATAACATTGTGTATGATGTCGACTTTCTGTGCAAGGACTATATTTCTGGAAAGTGAGAA